CCAACCACTTGTATGTTTGTCAGGGGAACCACAAGCCGTAAACACACATCAAACTCCAAAACAGAAAATGCTGCACTTCCTCCACTCCTGCACTTCCTTCGTGTCAATCGTCTCTGTCTCCACACATCTCCACACCCCTTCCGGGTCGATCGTCCGGTCACCGGCGACCGAGTCACTGGTGACCGGTCCCCTTCGGTCGACCCACGACGAATGGGTCGACCTGTGGGTCGGTGACCTGACCGGTGAACCCGTTCGCCGATCGACCAGGGGTGACTTCTTCGGCGAATCACCGGCACAACACCCTCTCCTCCGTCCGCTGTATCGCAACACTGGCCGCTCGCCTCTGCCCTCCACCGTCCGCGCAACACTGGCCGTCCCGCTGCCCACCGCGAGCCCGCTCCCGAACTTCCCGTCAGCTCAGGCGCCCGTCGCATGAGATCTGCGATGGTCACCACGATGTCGCTCTCCTTCACGTCATCTCCGAAGACCCTCGGACCGTCAGACCGTCGAGTTCTCCGGTCGGACCGGACCGTCGACCGGTTTTTCAAGGACGATGCCTTCGGCCGTGAAAAGGACAGCTTCGTCATGCAAACAGTTGACTTCCGGGTGGCCGTTTAGGGAACATGGATGGATATAAGACAAATCAATAAACAAAGCTCAGCTCACTTGCACACGGTTTCATGTCTTTCATTGTGTTGTGTGTGTTGTGTGTGTGTGTGTGTGTGTTGTGTTGTGTGGGTGTCATGGTTTTCAATGTCCCTTTGCCACCACTTAGGATCAAATCCTGGGTCCTTCCATTCATGCCCCACTGTCTCCACGTCATGGGCATGGTCAACATTGTTGGTGCGACTGCTGGCGACCAGGCGGGCAATGTTCCCTGAACTCTTGAGTGTTTAAACAACAAGTAGGTACCGGCGCCTGTATGCGGTCTTGTGTTTCTAGGTATTTGATATGTGATGTGTGTAAGACGATCGTTTTTCTGCTCAATGCTTCAGAACTCAGTTCTTCAGCTAGTTTGACATAGCAATGGCCAGCACATACCGTACGGGTTACGGAGATATCTTGATGTTGGTCCTTTCATGACGGCGTCCAGTCAAGTCAAGCAATTTAGAAGATGCGTTTTGGCCTAAAGCTTTGGTGCGCTCTTTTTCTCACTGCAGCTTGAAAAAGCATCCTAACGAACGTTATTACTACGTGAACCTCCCCACCCCCGCATCCTTCTCACCTGCGCCTTTGTATATAGCATAATCTTGGAATCAAAACAAAGGTCATTGTCCCACCCCAAGCCTCCCCCAGTCGAAACATTGCTGGATTTCCATTGCGAAGCAATATCAGAAGTTCCCAATGCCACAACTCGACAAACAGCGAGAGCCATGTGAGCTAAAAAAGTGCTGAAATCATTGCCGCAGCTCCAAAACATAGCAATTCCAAGCGGTGTCTCTCATGTAGACAACAGGTGGGCATGTACAATGTGGCATGGTTGTATGAGCATGCCGCAGACTTTCTTCCTAAGCAGCAGCCTTCTTACCTGCAGAGTCAAAATGATCCAAATGTGAAATGTGAACCTGAAAGTAGCAGTCCTCTTGCACATATGATTGGGGTGAGGTTCCTACCATCTTTCTCTTAGATTGTAGTGTATGTCTGTACCAGCAGTGAATTCTAGTAACCTGTAGTCCCTGGTCCCTGGAGAGGACCTGGGCAAGTGGTCAAAGTTGTAAAGTCGTCTAGCACGGATCTAGCCTGGGCCTACGAGGGTCTAGCAGCACACTCCTCCGCCAGTTCCAAACGGCCGTGATCAAGAGGATTTGCCTCTTTCATGCTCAACGTCTTGCTCAAACATTTGGTGAACCTCCAAGCGCCCACAATATACATTTAGCAATGGTGAGAAGCCCCTTTTCTCCTCTCTGTGTGTGTGTGTGTTCGATTGTGACGGTCCATCGCAAAAAAAATGAAGCGATTCTTTTCCACAAACATCTTACCTATAGCCTATAGATAAGTAGTTTAACCTAGCGCCAGCCCTAGCCCAATGCTGGGTAATGCTGCGTTTTGCTAGCGCGACAAGGTAACATATCCTATTTAACCACCCGAATTCCAAGCGTGGGCCAAGCGGTCTCTGAATCCCTGAGAACGTTCCTGACTTATATAATACATAGGACCCAGGTGTTCAAGTCACACGGCCGCTGGTGTGCGCGGATGGTCTCATCCAACCAGCTCGCAGCAGTTTCCATCTCTGCACCTTGTTGAGGTCCTTTCAACACCTGAACCCCCCTCAAAATCTGCATTGTCAAGGCACGAGGTCTGCAATTTCTGCAAGTGTGGCGCTTCGGTCTCCTTGTCTTCCGCCTGTCGCGACGGAACGGTGCCGGAACGGTGCGACGGTGGCGGAACGGTCTCGGAACGGTGGTGCCCGGACTCGTTGGGCGTGAAGAACTTCCGGACCGTTCGCCATGCACTCAAGCAATGGGTGTTGGATCTTCTTGGGGTGTTGGTTCCCCCAGCTCTAATGGGTGTTGTCATCACCTCTGGCTGTGGTTCCCCAAGCTCCAAGGGTAAACTCATGGCTGATGACTTACCCAGCCCGGCAAAAGTCCAGGTGGTCACATTTGGACGAGGAGAGATCCCAAGGACTTAGGCTTCTTCATGCAGAAAACAGAATGGGCTAGCCCTGCCAACGGAATGAGCCAGCAATGAGCCGGCAGGAGCAAAAGGGCTTGGGCAGTCAACTGGGGTTTGAGAAGAGAGGGAAAAAGTACATTGGCAATCGCACCCCAGGGTTCCTTAACATGTTGGATGGACAATGTCAAAGAACCATGTGTCCTAGCAGTGCCAAAATGTTCTTGGATGGTGAATTGACTCTACTGCAAGCTAACGAATTTGACGCTGAGCAACTGTCCAAAGGAATGAGCAAAAGGCCCAGTGTCTCAACAGTACAGGTATTACAGTACAAGGTTGGCACTGGTCAATCAAGAACACGGCGACCACCCCTGCCTCTTGCTCCAAGCTGGCGATGAATAATGCCTTTGCCTTTGAGATGCTTATTCTAGTTCCTGGACGTGAAGACGGTCAGAGGAGTCAACAACATGATGCTAAAGCGCTGAGCATCAGTCTCTTGATTTTGAGGTTGGCTGAATCATAGTCATCTCTCGCCCATCATCACCCGCAATCTCGTCTAAGCGATATATATATATATATATTATATAATCTCGCGCATCAACTGACCAGGTGCATCCCTTGGACCGACAAAATCAGCCTATCTTTACCTTCCCCCCAGGGCTCCAAGTACCTCCTCAGAAGGTATTTGGACCCTCTAAACCCACCCCAGTCCCACCTTCTTAGAAGGTACTTGGAGCCCTAGAGTCCATGAGTGTTTTTGGTACCCGACTGGGCACGGTTACCGCTCACGTCTTACCCCGCAGGGTGGTGAGACAGTGCACGTTCAGCTCTCGATCCAGCTCTCGATCCACCTGTTGGATATTCAAGCCACAACTACTTCTGGTAGTATAGGGTTTTTGGGTTATATGGACTATAACCCCTTATCCCTATAACCCTTGATATTCAGACTGGCTGGGGTAAAAAGGAATATTCTTTCCAGGTCCCCAGGCACTGCGATGGATCCTAAGTCCTAGCGACGGATCACTTGGCCAGTTTCGCAGGTCTCTGGTGTCCAGAATCATACGGTCAGCTTTAGGTCAACATAAGGTCAGGCGCTATCTCACAGTCAGGGAGAAGTGTTTCTTGGGTTTGCCCAAACTCAGGTACAAACTGATTGCACTCCCTCTGGTCCCCCACTCTACTCCCTATATCCCGCTCCTGTGCGGCGGTGCCAAAGACGCTGGAAATAATCCTTGGCTTCACTCACTGCGACCCCTGCAGGGGTGAGTGTGCTTCACTCGTGGGTCATCCAAAAGCGAAGATGGTTGAAACCCCGAAAAAGCGAGCGACCGGGGGCAACAGGGGCAACTCTCTCTCTCTATCACTGCAAATCCACATCACTTCTCAGAAGGTATTTGGACCCGACAAAAACCCACATAAAATAAGCCTCGCCCATCAGAGGCGTAGAATGTGTTTCTTCTAGAGGGAAAGCCCGGAATCCTCAGAGGAGATTGAGGAGACCTCCCTGGCGCTTTTTCCTGAAAACCGATCCCAGAGAAGATCTGCTCGTCACTTTTGGGCCGGTCTTTCCCCCTGACTCGTGACCCAAACCGTTTGGCTTCGCGGGCGAATCAGTGCGAACCCCGCATTCGTCCAAGGATGTGGGGATCCATGGGGAAAGCCGCCACAAAAACGTCATGGTCGTCTTTGGTTTGGCTCTACGTGCCCCATATCTTGATCCTAAAGGCTAATGCTTGAACTTTGGACTGGGAACACCGGGAACACCCAACTTGTCATGAACCTATGAGGCATTACGAAGCTATGAGAGTCCTGTGTGCCCGAGTTCAAAAATGAGGAAAATCACCTTCCTTCAGCCCGAGATGCCACAACATCATCCCAAACAGTGTCACTGCAGGAGGCCTCACAATTGGTCATTGTCAGACCATCATGGGCGGACCGGGTGGAAACTAACAAAAAACAAACTGTGAATCGCTTCGCTTTCGCTTCGCTTGCGCTTCGCTTTCGCTTGGGGTTCAAAGCAAAACATGCGTTGCAAAATCCCAATTGGACTAGCCTCTCAAGCCCGAATGTTGATGAGTTACCAGGACCCCCAGTCAGGGTGGCTAATGGACACCCCGAATCACAGTTAGGGGGGCTATAAATAGACACCCCGACAGGAGGGTCCTGGTATGATTAGTTGATATTGTGATTGCTGGTCTATTGGCAAAACAGAGTCCAGTCAACGCAGGACGATGCGGGCACACAAGAAATATCAAACAATAGGCCAGTCTTCCTGCATGGCAATGTTCACCTACCCCCAATTATGGAGTGGGTGGCTTTGACTGCCTTTGTATCAATCTTGTTTTCGAGGGGTACTGAAAAAAAAACAGGTTGTTCTGGGGTGGATACCTCCGTTGCGCTTGACATGGAACAAACGGCCCCCAGCATCACCGTGGGTATATAATGGTACAATAAAACACGGTATATATATATACATACAGTATCTTTATACTTTCCATGTCCATGTCAATTTCAGGACCACAAGAAGTCCCTTCTCTGCAGCAACATGAAGGTCTTCGCAACAGAAGAATAATTGCTTTTCGAACGGCTTCCGTCTTCTTCATAGAACAATGCTCTCCAGGAGAAGGCGGCTCCATGCTCAAAATGCTTGAACGCCCCAACTAACTGTCCTCCCCCTGTCACCTTGCTTGCTCCTCCACTGGTGGGTACGATGACACGCCATCGAGAGGATGATCTTTGGGCTGCGGTGCTCAATTCTTCCACCAGGAGATTTGGATCAAGCCAAACATATCAGCCACACACTTCTTGGAACTGAGACCGCACGAGCGGTCGCAACATCAGCCATACGCCAGCCACCACACAGCGTATGCCATGCGAGAAAAAACCAACACGCGTTCACCAACCCTTTCGCATCCACCAACCCTTTCAGACCATGTTTCTTCTTTTGGCCGAGCACGCACGAACCGTCGGTCTCATGCGGGTCCCCCAACTCGCCGCGTGAAGCGAACGCGTGAAGCGAACGCCGCTTTGTTTCCTTCTCACACCGGTCCGTCCCACACCGGTCCGTGTGTCAAACGCATGGGACGCCCTCAAAAGGCCTGAAATGGCGCTCCAAACTGGGAGAATGACATGGCTACATTGGAACATCTTGGCATATACCCTTTTCAACCACCGCAATATGCACATACCATATGTCCGGAATGGCTCGGCAGACCATCCGAAACCTGGAGCCAGTCCTTTTATCACCTACTCGAAGCAAAGTGTCTTACAACTGAAGGAAAACATCCTGCAGCAATCTGCAGCACCTATAGAAGTAGATCATGTCCATGCATGTCAGACTTGTTTGCGAGGTTAGCAGACTGCTCAGTCGGGCACGTTTCGCTTGGTTTCAGCGTAGACGTCCATGATGATAGCGATCAGCCTAAGCCGGGCGACAGCCGACCACACCGACCGCGGGTCCCGGTGCACTCCGGGGTTCTTTTTGTTTACGACTTCATTCTGAGGCGCCGGAAGTGGTTCAAACACCAATGAGGTCACCAGTTTATGGAGGCATGAGGAACAATATTGGACTGGTTGCGAGCCTTTTTTTGAGACACCTTCGGGCAGGCGGAACGATTCAGAATTGTTCACCAGCAATTTCTGAAGACGTATTTGTTTGGTCCTCCACCCACAGCCAGAGCGAAGGGTCAACATCCGATTCCACAGAAGCTGAACTCATCGAAGCCACATTAAGATATATCCTATATAGGGCTCCAGCTGCATCAAAAGACAGGGTCGATCCTTCAAACCTGAACATTCCCAGTTCCACCTTCTCCGAAGGCTATTTGGCTATAAACGAGATCTGCCTGGACTTATGGTTACGTGGATGACAATGGCGATGACCCTTTTCCTTCATACCAAACAGGTGGTGCCATCCACGTCATGATGAAACACCGGTGATCCAACGATACACGATACACAGCTGCCCCACCCGCTGGGCTCCCAGACATATTCAGCAGAATCAGCAACATCGTCAGCATAAAGGCCAAGTGGAAAATTCCAGCCTAGGCTTGAAGTCGAAGCTCAGTGGACCGGTCGGTGTGTCGTCGGTGTGTTTTGGACATAAAAAGAACGACGGTACTTTAGATCACGGGATGAGATATGGATCTAATTGTTGTTCGGACCGGCAGGTCTATTCTCCCAGGGGGTCGTTGCCCAGGAGGCCTTCCTATTTGAACACACACAGAATCATAATCCGAAGCGAACCCCTGGGGGGTGGATGTGAGGATTGTGCCTAAGCCCCTAAGCTGAATCCCCTCATGAAGAAGAAGCTCGGGTTTTGCCATCTTGCTCCGTAACTTGCTGAACGCTATAGCTCTATAAATCTCTATAAATATACATCTCACATTATCTCACTCCCCCAACGAACCGATCATGACATCTCATGGTCTCTGGATAGGACAGGATCTTTGCGGACCCGCTGTGGGTGGCCACGTTCAATGGAATCCCACACATCAGATCCATCGACCGGTGCGGCAGTTGTGCGGCAGGTCGCGCGGGGTCGACATCACACGAAACCCGGCACTCGAGAGTTCCGCGTGCCACGACAAATTGATGTTTTTTCGCAACATGCCATGCTTCTCTTGTTGTGTGGAGAGTCATGATTTGGGTGTTGAAGACAATATGTTGCGCAACATCTTAAGGGATTGACTTCAAGCATCTTTCCTTCAAGGCACCATGCGTCTAGTTGGCTACCAGCTTGGACCGCTTTCTCAGCACGGTGAATGATCAAACAGACATACATATTTGGAGACAGCCTTTCTCCAATGCAAATGCACCTTTGCAAAAACGCACCTCAAACGCCCAAATCAAGGAGACCTTCACCGAAAGGAAAGACCACCCCAACCAATTGCAGGTCACTGCTTGATTCTACATCTGTCTATATATACCCCCCCAACGACCCCCTCCGCACGGACGAAATCGGACAGCCGAGTCACAATGACGCGACCGGCTTGTTCTTCCATGGCATCGAAGTCCAAATCCCCCATCAAGGCACGGAAGAGCGTCACGAAGGCGATATGGAAGCTCGAGTACCCTGCCGCCACGGTCCAGTCCGGACCGCTTTACCGAAGTGAAAGCGGTCCGGACCGTGGCTAAAGAAGCGATGACCGGATTTGGAACAGACATCTGAAAAGCGTAATAACTGAATCCTTGCCATATTGGAACAACCAATTGTTTCTGGTTGTTTGGTTTCCCAGAATGAATTTCTCCTGAAATCAGACATCAGTTTTTTCTCATTTCGATTGCGGCGGAAGGAGTCCACATGGTCAGGTCGTCTGCAAATATATGCCACGTTCCAGTACAAGATAGTACAAGTACCAACAGAGGTTGAAGAGCCCTATAGGCTATCCCATAAGTACCCTGGTAGGGTTCTATAGGGTCACTTAACCTCTGTTGGTATATCCTATGACGCCCTCTGACTCCATCTACCCGGAGGCACCGGCACCGGGGTGTGTTTGATAGCTCCACCCTACGGGACCTCCGCAGGTCCCGTTCTCCGCACCTTCCACGGTGCGGCCGAAAAAGCCCATGGCCATGAAGACGAAGGTCACAAAGACGGAGAGGAAAATGATGCCGAAGTGGGCCTCAGGGGGAAAACTCACATGGCGAAACTGCGAGAAGAACGCCCAGTCACACCCAGTCACACCCCACCCCACCCCACCCGCGCGCAAGTGGCCGGAGAAAACCCGTTCCGTCCTTACCCACTGAGCCGTCGACCATGGAGCGAGCGGAATGTGTGTGCAAGAACTCCGGTCTAAGGTCGGCGCCAAGTCGGCGAAGGAGGCCCATAGGGTTCGTGTGACCACCTGAGATGGAGCAAGCTCGATGGGCGGCCATGGAGCTCAAAGAGATGGAGCTCAGCAACGTCAAGAAGACATGCACTGTGGAAAATCTGCGGATGTTTATCTCAAGGTCTTACTGTTTGGTGCCAAACCATGTGTTATTGTGTCCATGGTAAAAACATATGATAGAGTAGTTGTTTTCATGTTGCATTGGTGCCTAGAATAACACAAATCAGTCTTCCGATCCGAGAACCCTCACTCAAACACACCAACAAAGGTTAAGTGACCCTATAGGACCCTACCAGGGTACCTATGGGATAGCCTACGTCAATACGTATAAAAGTGGACGGCGCAGTAAACCCTTTGGGACCCCAGTCTGCTGCCCGAACCTTCGGCCCTTCTGCTGTTCGGCCCTAGTTCCAACGCTTCGGCCCAAGGGACGGCCAAGCGTGGCTGCAAGGAGAAGGTCTTGAAGAGTCGCAAGAGGATGCAGAAAGGGTAGAAGCCTTGGTGAGAGGAAGAGGCGACCGGATGCACCCGCCAAAGAAGAGATGCATTTCCCGCCCAAAGAAAAGAACAAAAAAGGTTTTGAGACATGTTGAAAAAGGGGACCTTTATCGTCTTGTCTGTATTTGATGTCGAAAGTGCCACACATCCAAAACAGGAGATTGGTACGAGTAAATCTCCACCGTAGGCTAGTCTTGCCCTCCTTTTGAGGGAGGCAATGCAGGGTATCCGCTGTTGAAAGAAAACAATCCCTGTCTCTGTGAGCCCACTGGTGAGCTTCCCTCAGACTTCGTTCACTTGTTCTACCACTCTTCTTCCATGGTCCAGTCCTCTACTCTGGGACCTCCCTTGCTTGGGGAGATGGGAGCAAAGCTTCGAGCTGGCTCGATCGCCAGCAGTTTTTGTGGCAAAAAGGTCTGTCTAAGAGTCTCAAGTCGTGATCCAATCGAGGGTTGCCTCGTGAAACCCCAGCCTAGCCCAGTATACCAGCGATCCAGGAAGGATAGGGGTGACCAGAACATCCGCTCACTTAAGAACTAAACACCACCCAGACATGTGACTCCAGGTATACAAGTTTCCCATCGACGGCCTGGCGAGGTCGCCATGAATCTTGAACAAACACTTGTTGCAACTTGGACCATGCATCAAAACTGCTGGGCGACGACCAGTCTCTTCATTGGAGAACCCAAAACAAGTGAAGCCACAGGTCAGATGGAAAACGCAAATCCACAATGCTCTTCGAACCCCAAGCAACCATGGCCATACACGGCCATGGCGGGTGTCTTTGCTTGAAGTCCCTTGCCGCCAGCCTGCCCAGCTGAGTCCCCCCACTGCTCACCTGTGAAGGCGGGTGCACGGAACAGCCTACGTCAACCTTTTGTTTGCAGGAAAATCGCAATATACGTTGGGCAGGGAAAATGGACTGTTCCTGCAGAGTCTCCTGTGGAGCAATCTCCTGTGGAGAGCTTGAACTACTCTATAAATCAACCAATGTTCTATCAACTCTAACCTATCATGAGCCGTATGTACAACAACTGATGAAAGCCTAAACCTGATGCTCCAAGACGATGGTGCCTCTACAAACCAAAGAAATGACATTCAACCCCCAAGTAATCCAGACTGAGCTTGACCATTTCAGGATCTACTCAAAAAGAAGACACCAGCTATGACCCGCAACACCATGAGCTGAACATGTTGTCAACATATATCTTTAATGTATTGTCTATTGTCAATATCTTTACCTTGTTGTCAACATTGTTGTCAGATTAGGTCTTCAATATCTTTATTGTTTCGCCGCAACAAGGTGCTCGCAAGGCGAACAACACAATACTAGAGTCAAGTCAAAGGCTGGATGGAGATCTCTGGAGATATCTGGCGCAAGGTGATGTTTGAAATGGAACGTGGCTCCACAAATGGGGGCCCCAAAACACCTGTCCAGTCATCTTCTCCCATGTCGGAAGGGGGGAAACACTGGCAGGGGTGTGCTTTTGGGAAGCCGACTGGTATTTTCCTGATAATGCCAGTAGCGGATGGATGTAAATGATTATGATTGTAGATGGGATATTTTGCGGATACAGCTGTGGATTCTAAAGGAGGCCAAATCCATCAACATCAACATTCCATAGCCAATCCCCATTCCCCGCAGCCAAATCATCATTATATCATTAAAAACCAAACAACCTTAAATAGTGATGGGTTAAGGTGGATCTTCATTCCAATCCTTTCCCCTATGGCTCCAATGGCTCCCTGAATTCCCACCAATGGCCGCCAGTCAGAACGGCGCCTGTCCTCTCCGTCGTCTCCAGGCGCCCGGGCCAAGCTGGTTTGCCCGGCTAATTGACCAGCATCCGATGCCAAATCCAAGACATATTCTGCCAGCCGAGGAGGAGTGGGTCACGGAGGAGGACCAGACGGGAGTGACGGGAGTGGATTGATGAGGACCGAGATCGGCCAAGATGAAGTCTTTGGCGTGAAGGTCGGCTGCCATTGAAGGATGTGCAGGCCGTGCATTTTAGATGGTGAACCATCATAACCGACCCAACATTGGTTTTGCGATGTTTTGCGCTCGGAATACTTCCAGAAAAAAAACAGCCTGCTTATATGTTGCAATTGCAGAAAACAATTTACGGTACGAGGTCAGCAAAAAGTGTCAATGCCGACATGATTGCTCATGGGAAACCAATGAACCAACAGCGTTTTTGCTGGGAAGTTTGATTGAATCCCAGAAATAAGCAAACTGGCCCTATCGAAACCAATTTTAAATTGTGTCTACATAAACGCATTAAAACCTCAACCCCCCGGTTCACACCCCAGAAAAGCAGAATCCTCTATGAATGAAGCATTCTTGATCCCATGTCGTTGTTGTTCCACTATTACCTCTGCCTCTGCGAATGATGGCTGGGATCACTTGCGGGGATATTTTAGAAACCTCTATCAAATCACTGGCGAGGATGTGTCCATCAAATGCCGAAGCTGCCTGGCACTCTATAGTTTCAGGTCGCTTGAGGGTTGGACAAGTGCAGCCTCCCCCCCCAAAAAAGAAAACCAATGAGTCTCAATATGGTGGGAGAACATTATAGCTTGTTTTCTCTAGACTGACCGCGAACAAACATCCTATCACGTGTCTCTTATTGAGCAAATCCTATCACTTATCACTTATGTTGCTAAAAACCTATCACTTATCACTTGTCACTTATATGTTGCTTCCTTCTCTTCTGCCTTTTACTACTTCTCCTTTCACTCCATCATGGTGCTCTCAGCATTCAACATGTCTCAGCATTCGGAACGATGAGCGGCGAGCTCTCTACAGAGATGTGTCCAACCCACACACCATGGTAAGAAAGGCCACCAAAACAAACACACATTATATACCTCTCCCTAGGGATCCAAGTACCTTCTCAGAAGGTGATTGGGGACACTCTTATGTAGGTTTGGAGGGTCCAAGTACCTTCTGAGAAGGTACTTGGATCCCTAGGGTCTATAAGAGGTTCCCCAAAAACGGTCAAACAGGTCACTCTCCATACAATGAGGGTCCAAATCGCATTTTACAGTCAACTGATTGGATCTGATTGGCATGATGTAGAGGAACATTCACGGGGGATGTTCCACTTTCTTTGGTGGTTCTAAATTTCTATGGCTATAGATGCAAGCACTGGATCGATGGCTCTTATGATGGCTCACAAGTCCATCTTGACTGCTGATGCGATGGGGAACGAGTCGGTGATTCCGGAAACAAGCCTTGCTCAACTACGACTTGGAGTCGGAAAAAACATGCTTTAAAACAAACGCCCAGTGCCTTGCAATGCTAGGGTGGCTGCTTGCAATGCCCGGTGGCTGAGCCGGGCACCTTGGTATTCTTGACATGTATTTTGGTCTGCAGAGCTGCAGGTGGCAATCAGGGCTTCCACCGCCACCTAGCGAAAGAGCCGGAACGACTGCGGCTCGCAGCTGGACCAAGTCGGAGGTACGAACGACTGAATATCGAAAAGGAAGGTGCCTTTCCGTGGCTGAAGGTACCGAAAACATGCCTCACAAGACTGAAAGAGAAGGAGCACAGTACCACACAAAGGATCCATATCTAAGGATCTGTAGAGTCGAGGATCTCTCTCTCTCTATATATATATATAGAGGATCTATAGCTAGCTCACATCACTTGGTTGATGGTGCTGGGTGCGAAAGAAACAACAGCAGCAACAATAGCCACATTGACATACCAGCTATGGTCCTATTGTTCAACAACATGCAGCAACAATAGCCACATATAGATCCTGTTGTGGTCTATATTCCAACTCCTGGTTGTGAATCTGAATCAATTGTAGACATGTAGGCCACTAGTTCCCTTTTCCGGGGTGCCGGTGCCGAACATTCACTGGATCAGCACTCTGTTGAAACTTCTGGTACCCTTTCTCACTTCAACTTGGATTTTGCTTCAGGAACTGAAAACAAAAGGACAACAAAACCATTCCCCTGCCAGGGCGAAGGAAACATGGAAGCCCCACGGAACACCGGGGCTTCACCATGGGATGTTCCCCCACCCCCAAACGAAAAAAGGACGTCACGTCACCTCCTGTCACTTGGAGCTGAAACCCACCGTGGCGGAACCGTTCGCCTGCAACGCCTTCCGATCCTCACAGGTGAGGATCCACATCCCTGGCGGCACCGGTGCCATCGGTCCGTCACGGTTGGGTGGACCGGTGGAGCTCGGAGCGGAGCGGAGCGGAGCGTCATGGAGGTGAGGGCGCTCTCTGAAGGTTTGGAGGCTCATGGACCCCTACGCACGGAACTAGAAGAAGCTACGGGTCGGTGGGCGTTTCGAAGGCATTGATCACAGAAATGTCCTGGTCACGGGAAAGCACTCGAAAGCCCTAAAGCATCGCTGAAGACGTGTTTCTTCTTCAACGTGTGTATCCTGTTAGCCCAGCTTTATTGGGAGGCCTTGGAACAAAAAACTGGATCAGCACTGCAACAATCGTAAAATCGTCTCCCAACAGCCAACAGCTGGAATGAATCATGGACAAATATGGACAAATGAAGTACAATGCAGACTCTTGATTGATAAATCATGATAACACCCTCCATATGAAGAGGTTATGTAAATATGTGTATACATCTCAGATATTCTTAGATTATCCATATCTCGGGGGGGTCCTAATCAACATATCTGCATCTTCGTTGATTTGATCACCTTCGGTCGCTGACGGCGAATCCGTCCTTCGTGTTTCTCCGCGCCCCCCCCTTTCTTCGCCGGTCTCTTCCAGTCGACTGTGCGGGTTCCGACGCGCCTAGAAGAGTGAAGGCCAAGATGATCGAGACCCAATCGATGAGGTTCCAAACGCTGATGTACTCCCTCGATTCCGGGAGACATGAGCACCGCTGACGACCCAAAAGCCATCCGCACGGTGAGGAACAAACCAGCAGGTGCTGGAAGAGGTTCATGGTGTGATCCGGCATTGTGGCGGATGTTTCTTGGAGCCCAACTGTCAGACTCCTTCAAGGCCAATCTCCAAGAAACCATTACCAAGGTGGTATAACTACCAGCAGTCACAAAGGGGTGCCTATTGGAGGATAGGGGTGCCCATTATCCACTCACTTAGGGACTAAAAACCACCCCTTTGTGACTCCTGGTATAATGAACTGGGGTTTCTAGGTCTACAGGTTTTGGGTCTTTGGAACCTGTGACCTCACGGCCTGCCCCTCGAATTCGGGCGGCATTCCGACCTCGATTTCATGGGCAATGCCGATGAATTTGTTGCAAAGCAAAACAAGCAAAACACAAAGAACCTCTTTTTGTCTCTCTCCCTATCCCTCGGGCTCTCACTCTACACCCTTTCTGTGCCCCCCCCCCAAAAGGCATCCCGGTAACTCATCAATCTCCTGCAAAACTCATCGATCAAACATTGACATAGCTCCGCGGAGTGGGGATGAGTGGGGGTCGAGTTGCTCCTTGCCCCATTAGGTCTTTGCAAATCCCATTCCCGCCCAGCTTGCTTCAGCTCGCGGGAGGGCCCCAACCACGGCACCACATGTCCTCGCCCCCCCCAAAAAAAGAAGAACAACACCAACCATCACCAACCCCCCGTTTGCCGGCTCATTGGACCCCTCCAGGACACACCTCCGGGTCCGACCCTCCAGGTCCGACCCGCCCTCCAGGAACGTCTCGCCTCACCGAAGCATCCAACGTCTCACTCCCCACGACCGTCGCCCAAGGGGCCGGAAGAAGGACACGCATTTGCAGCGCCCCCGCACGCGCGTGGCCAGAAGTCCTCGGATACCGGGCAAGGAAAAATGACCGTCGCATGACGAAGACGTGGAAAAGGGGCCGTGGAACAACTCGTTCAAAGCAACATTGTTAGTTTGTGTGTTATGATGTTTTGTCAGGGGCCATGTTTCCATGTTACGGAGCCGAGGTGTAGATTCTTTCTGGTAAGTCTCAACAGATGCCGCAATGGTTGTGCATGTCTGCTCCATCCCTCAGTCCCTGAGGCCATCCCTCAACCTTCACAACTTTGCAGAAATATGTCGCAGCCCAGCTTGGGTGGATCACTCCGAGAAAAGGGCATCAATGGACCCCGGCTGCAGGAAGAAGAGGTCAAATCTGGTCAATGCCAAATGTTGAATCACCAAACCCGCTTGAAAAACGTAGGTTTCTCTTCAACGATTGGCTTAGGGCCTAGATTGGCCTTTAGTGCCTTCTCTTCCTATACTGCCAGTCCTTTCCTTCTCGTTTCCTCCCAAGACCCTGTCTTTCTAAAAACCAAGAGACCACTGACGACTTCATAGACCTCCTCTATGAAGATTGTGAAAATGCCTGAGTTTCAAGGGGCCGGGGCCCTCCTTTCTCCAGTTTTTGATGTTTCTTGCATGAACACGTCGATGAACCACCGAAGATCCATGTTCTTGTGCGCTCGACAGTCTGCCGACCTTTCGTTTATCCATACAGCTACGTAGTAACGAGTAACGATAGTACCTCTGTCATCAACCCAATAGGGGGCGCTCAGAAAGCCGAAACAGCCAGTGGTGATCGTGTGAAATAAACTTTTGTACCAGCAACATGGCCCACTGGAAGATCTGTTCTCGTGTTCTTCTCTCCTGAGCTCTTCGCGATCTTGTCCATGCGAGATCGAGAGACCACCAACAGAGGTTGAAGAACCAACCAACCCGAACTAGGCTATCCCGGGTTTCCTGGTAGGGTCCTATAGTTCGGGTCACAACCAACCTCTGTTGGAATGCCTGACCCCTATGGGCTGACCGCGGCTGACCCCCCCGTCTAGACGCTAGCTATAGAGGCCTGAGGTCGCTCCAGATCGGGGCCCCGAGACCGTTTCGAACGAGGACGTGGGACCCAGTGCATTGAGGAGACACCAGGTCTTCCGGCATGGCAAGGCATGAACATGGAGGTGACATGGACATGGTTTAGCTATGTTTTAGCTTATCTGGCTTGTGTGACGTAAGCCTTTTGTGTGTCTTTCAGTATTCTCTTGAAATTGGTGCTGACCTGGGGTCTGAAGACACAAATTACTAAGCCATACTAAGCTATAAGCCTACTATGCCTTTCATATCCTCGGGCACGGAGAAAACACCGAAAGAAACATATAACATATATACCTCGGACGTTCCCTCAGTCCCTTCAGCTGCAGATACTCCCGAAGAATAGGATCTCCCAACAGAGTGGCCAAAGATTCGCATAAGGTGCCATCTTCAACGACCTGAGATACGAACCAACAAAAAACACCATAAGACCTGTGTCTTTCCTGGTCGATTGTTGGTTTGGCATAGGGGTTGTCACGTCTTCAAAACGAGGAGCCACCGTCGCCCCACGAAAGTCAACCTCCTCATGGGCTCATGGACTCATGGATGGCATGGCCCCAAAAGGAAGACCATGAGTCTTCCGAAGACCAAAGAGGTGGTGCCATCCGCTTCTGTGATCTTCTCCAGGGAGTGTACAGGATGTCTTTTTCCTGTGATCTTTGGTGGCGAGGGCTTCATGGTCGACACGGGGGGCTTTATCGTCTCTGAAGTCACGGCAGAACAGATTCACTCCTCACCAGTGGCGGGCCAGGGGATTTTCAATTCGTACACACCAACTTCCCCCCAAGTGGAAGGTCAAAGGAGCAGAACAGGAGCAGCAATGAGTGCTGCAAGTGCTGCAAAGGTCCTTTTCAAAGGTCAAGCATGCCTGTTTTCCGGAGCCTGTTGTTGTTGTTGTTGTTTGTTGTTGTTTGTTTGAGCAACATGGCTCCTGAAAAAGGGCTTGTGGCTCGCAACAAGAGGTGGTGTCCAAATAAGCGCTCGCTGCAACATCCATCGGCGGTCAGGTTATCCCGTCGGTGGTTAGTGATGGCCACCGAGTTCGATCTGCATAAATGGACATGAACAGCTTTTAGTTGATGCAAAACACACATCCAGTGATCCACTACCTGGGAACATGAATTCAGCCTTCCTTACTCCATTTTGCACCTGAATATACCATTTGTCACCCTTTTGTGCTCGTAATGGGTTTCATTCACCAGCATGTACCGCTGGCATCGAACTGAAGGGGCCACATTCACCAGCTCAGCATGTGGACTAGCATGAGAACCTAAATATGTCCATGGACCTATTCTATCATAAATCCATTAAATATGTTTTGCCTGACACATGCCATCCATGGACTGTCAGTCTATTCTATCTTGTGTTGCCTCGTCAGAAAACACATCCCTTCGTTGTAATGGCGTCCATGACACGCCACACGTGCTCACTCCATCACGGATGCATCGAGACACATAAAGGTGATCTGCTTCCAAATCCGCCCGGAACGGGCGAGGAGAAAGTGGATCCCGGTCACGGTCAGGATGTCGAAGTCAGGATTGTAGAGCACCATGGTAATCTGCCACCGGCTCTGGTCCAAGCATAGTCACGTGAAACACATCGTGAACAAGTATTGCTTCAGTAGACTCAGACCTCCTAACTGGAACACCCCCTGGCCAAGTACCTGAAGTGCATGGTGGAATCTCATCTGACGGAACTCACGACCAAACACAATGCCAAACACCATCTAAACCTCAAACATGTGGATAAGTTATGGCAACCGGCTTTGATTGAGTGGTATCAACGTCAGTTGCCCGAAACATGTTTCTTTGGTTCGTTCGGATTCCTATGAAGAACGTGAGTTCACAGCCACTGGTCGCATCATGTCCAATATCTCGACCATGAGGGCTTGTGTTATCTGAGGATAAAACACTCATCAAATCAAACTACTGAATGGTCCCCTGGTCACCCCTGGTCAGTATGCATCTATTGCGCAATGTTCCCCAAAACGGGCAAAATAACACGGCATCATGTTTTGCGCTGGAGTTTCGTTGCGAAAAACACACAAAAAACACATGGTCGGTTTGTCAATGAAGTTTCAAACCTAGGTCAGGATCCAAACATGGCATGGAAACAACTAGACTATGGTATGGTCATTAGTGTGTTTCCACAGCTTCGATCAAGGACACCGGGGATGAACCGGCCTTCCAATGGTCTGTGTCTGAGGTGAGCCACGTGCTGTTTTCCAGCCAGGTGATGAGAGGCGTGGCATCTTCCATGGGGCTGAACCAAATCTGGGCACGAGAACGAGGCGTTGGGGGTGTCAACCATAGAGTGAGCTGGGCACTGATGATCCTTGGCAGATCAAATCAGGGTAACTTTTTGTGATCTACGGGGACGTTTTCACCAAAAATGACCCACAATGATCCACCAAACAACAATTGATTATACCCATTAGTTATGTCGCGCGATGTCTGTGTGGTTTTGTTGTGCAGAAAACTACCGAACTTGGAACATTCCAGCATGTTGGAGCAACGGCTTGTGGTTTCAAGATCTTCCAGCACAGCCAGGTGAAACCTCACACAGCAACAACATGCACAAAAAAACACTGCACACCTGTAAACAGTTGCAACTTATAATCTTTGCTGGATTGGACAACACGGCCTGGGAGGATGCACAAGTGCACTACCAACAGTAGTTTCTGGTGGTTCCGAGCTGAGAACTATCGGCTGTCTCACACACTCCCTTACACACACACACTCACTCACTCGCTCGCTCCCTCCCTCCCTCCCTCACTTGTAGGAGACAGCGCTGACCAGGACTTAGGCTCAAAAAAGCTAGCACGACGAGCAGGTATATTATGGAAGTGGCGTCCCACTTCCATATCCTCAGCTACATCGCCACCTTCGTTGACCAGGCACGGGTGTACCTTGCCTGCTCCTTTGCCGGGCAATGTGCCAAGAAAAGTAGGTGGATAGTGTAAGATAGTGTAGGTTAGAACCCCTGGAAACGGGAGATGGCACACACACGCACACTGAGACGGTGAATTCAAAAAAACGAGGTTGCAGCCTAACAAGCCTCTAGAAGGGAACAAAAGTGATAGAAAAACAAAAGAAAACAGGAAAACGTGAACACAACTCCTAGTGCTGACACATGCGCAGCGCCATACAGCGCCGAATCAGCGATTTCATATACCTAAATTACAGCATAGCAAGCCTTTGGAAAGGGAGAAAAAACAAAAGAAAACCGGAACCGAAAAAACATGACTGGGGACATTCCGGGCAAAAAATGCCGAATGAAAGGCAAGTTAATCAAGAACCACCCTGTGTTTTGTCAGGAGAGCGTTGGGAACACGCAAAAAAAACCGAGCATGTTTGGCGCAACCTGGATTAAGTACACCTAACAAGCCTCTAAGAAGGAAGGAAAATTCAGAGAAGAGAAGCGCCACCAAAAGGAAGGTTAAACAACTTGCATATTCCGTGCAAGAGTGCCACATGAACGGCAAATTAATCAAGAGCCACTCTGTGTTTTGTCAGGAGTGTGTTGGGAACACACAAAACAATCGAGTATGCCTGGCGCAACCTGGATTACACCTAACAAGCCTCTAGGAAGGAAGAAAAGCAGAGAAGAGAAGCGCAGCCAAAAGGAAGGTTAGACAAATTGCATATTCCGTGCAAGAGTGCCACATGAACGGCGAATTATTCAAGAGCCACCCTGTGTTCCGACAGGAACTGTTGGGAACACACAAAAAAGCCGAGTATGTCCCGCGCAACGTGCATTACACCTAACATGCCTCTAGCAAGGGAGAGGAAGCAAACAAGAGAAATCCAGCCGGAAGGAAAACAAATGACTTCGAGGTAACCGAGGTGTGTGCCAAGTGGCAAATTAAGAACAATTAGTAACCGAAGCCAACATTGAACAATTGGATGTAATGGTTTATCGCGTGCGAAACGATTTCAGTGAGCTCTGCAACATAATTCTGGTTACTGAGGTGAGACGCTTTCCGGATCAAATTGAATAAAAAAATCTGCCCGATTCCTTTGTGGATATAAACAATAGGACCTAGGAATTAAGGGCGCCCCTATCGGGGATCACCGAGCATACCGCAATGGGAAAATGTTGAAGCACACTTGAGAAAGATGCTCCAAGGAGCAATATTCAGAGTGGATCTTGTTGTGCATTAGCCCTTACATTTCTGCAATAGACGTGTGTACTAGCCCTTTACTGCACACAACGTAGGAGACAGTGTTGAGCAGCACTTAGGTTCACAGAAACTCAATCGAGCAGGTACGTGGAAGTGGACTCCACTTCCACATCCTCAGGTACATCGCCAGCTTCGTTGACCAGGCGACGATGTACCCTGCCTAGTCCCCTGCTGGACTTGCAGTTGGATAGTGTAGCTTAGAGCAGTTGGATAGTGTAGCAGTTGGAAGTGTAGCTTAGAACCCCTGGACACAGTGGCGTCTTTGTTAGTGCCAGACTTGCATGGTCCCTGACACCCCCAGGTGAAACACTCACATACTACACTTCAACACATCAACAATCAGCTGGAACGTACTTCACACAAAGACATCACCGCATCGGAAGCCATCGACCTGGCATCCCATAATTTACAACTCCTGCCTCATGCTCATCAACCACACCACACCTCGAACAGTTCTTATATGTTTTTTATGATTTGAAACTTCCGCCCACCGGCTCTTTCGGGAGGACTACCTTTATTTTGAACAAAAACATCCACCATATCTCGTTTGTTATACAACGTCTCTCGACAAAAAATACATCAATGACACACATGCCTTTTGAACTACCGGAACCACACAATTCCTAGACTCAAACCAGGTGACTCCCAATCCCACATATTGATCCTGCAGAGACGGACCCATCCAATTCTTCCAAAATTGGAACGTTTGGAACGCCCCAAAATGGTTTGGCAAGGTATCCTGTTTCATCTTTTGAAGTGCTCAAGCATGGTCCAAGGGGCCGTTGCGTTCATGTCCTCCGTGAAATCCAGAAAGCCGATGTCAAAGTCGGTGGGTTGAATGAAGAAGTCCTTCCCTGCACATGCCCACACCATTGATGCGACCCGGACAGCACAGGAATCATTACATTTTTACGGCAGTGGCTGGCTTCGCAACTGGATAAACAAGTTCAAATACATATTGTGCAATCTTGTGAGTTTGGCATGGAGGCTGATGCCAGAAACTACAAGAAGAAGTCTGATCCTATGCCAACACAATGAAAAACGGGCAGATGCAACAAAACCCTGCAAAAGAATAAACAATGAAGAACCTCATAAGAAACCACTTCACATGTTCCAGGGTCCATCACCTGACCCCCGCCTAATGCGGCGCAACTGTCTGCTGTCACGCCGGCGTCCTTTGCGCAAACAACTGCACAACTGGGTGAAACACAAACAATATACAATAAACATACAACAAACTCGAATCAAGAACAAGCACAGTCACCACACATGTTTGCAGTCCGAGGGTCAATGGCTTGGAACAAGTTGTAGTTGTCACATTGTGATGCCTGCGGCCAATGATTCATGGTACAGGCTTGTCCGTGCAAGTGCCAGTGCCGCATCTCTGAGCGTTCCAGAAAGCAAGCTGACATCCTGCCTTACACTGTTACAGGCGTTAGTCAAAGTCCTCGCTTTTTCACAGCCTTTGTAAAGTTCACAATGAAATGCAGGTTTCAAGAAATCAAGTGTACAACTGTACAACATCGGGGAAATATGCACTCCCGGGTCCCAGTTTGCCAAACATATGAACCACGTCTTTGGAACACTTGATCCTTCAAACCCTGGAGGACGTGTCCTGAAGATGAAGAGAATCCATCGTTCCCGGCGTATACAAGTTTCTGTCCGGAAACGTTCCCTACCAAAAACCAAACCCAGACACTCCGTGTGTGTGTGACATACCTCCCTACATTACTGGAATCAGGGTGGTTTTGGGGTCAATGAATCAGCATATCATATGTCCATGCGTGGAATGTCTGGGTAATAATGTCTAATGTCCTCACAAGGCCAGGCAAAGCTTCTCGGACCTTCGTCACTTTCTGCTGCGACAACTTGATGGGACCAAGCTTGCCTGGGTTTTTTCGCTGCGGGCAACATTTGACACTCAACTAGTGACAGAAACATCGCAAGGACATAACCCAATCCATTGTCAGCGTGCGATGTCAATGTTTGAGTAACATATGCCAAATTTTGTTGAGTAACATATGGCAAAGAGCAAGGCACCTCTATGACAACGTATGGCTTGCACTTCTATTTTACACCTTCCAATACATGATTGTGCGTGTGTATGTGTGCGTGTGTGTCCCACACCTCTTTGGTCTCAGCGCCCTTTGCAGCAAGTTGCACCACCCCTACTTGTTGAGTCAATCAACTACAGTACCCAAGCGTTTTTTGTTCAAAAAAACATGTTTCATCATGGTTCATTGCCTGAGTGTGTGTGTGGGTTGCGTGGGATTCTTTTGGAGCGCACTAGTCACTAGCCCAAGGGGAGGACCTTTCAGGCCAAATGAGGTCCGCCAACTGAATTTTGCATGCACATTGAACCATTAAGCAACAAAAAAAACTCATGACTCATTTTAAAAAAACATGCTATAGTGGAAAAAAGCATTCCCTAACACTCCATGCATGCCATATATATGCCTACATTGACCCCCCCCAAACCACCCCAATGTAGGCAAATATGGCATACATGGAGTGTATGGGATTGGTTGTTCCAACAAGCTCGTTCCTTCACATGGTCACACGCAGATCCCACAATCAGCTGAAAAAAGATGTTGATTTCTTGCAATCCTAAATTGAAACGAAAAGAATGGATAACAACAACAGAATGGGATGGATTGCCGCAGCTAGAGGCACAAAAGAATGTCACCTTTGACGAACTGATGCATGATTCGGTCAAGGAATGCCACTCCCACTATCCAAGTGAAGTGCCCTTGGTTAACGACAAATACCTGACTATCTTGAAGGCACAGATGTCATCTCACAGTCCCAAGGGCTCTTCGTTAAAATCCCGGCCTTACTGTGTGTTCTTGAGCTGTCCTGGGTCCTGAACTGGAGTGCTATGCTGTGCTCCGTACCAGGATTGATGGACAAGCACACTGTAAGGCTTGTAACACACACAGTAAACAATATGGCCAATAACGCGGATTCGGTTTGGCGGATTCCATGGTTGAGCGGTTGTTCGATGGTGAATCCGCCGACCCCGGTCGGTTCGGACGATGAACGAACGGGGCCAGCGTGTTCCGCGGAACGGGGGGACTCCAGCAACCGCTGGGCAATGTCAGTCGTTTGGGCGACGAAACCACCTGACCACTCCGGTCAACCTCGGTCGCGCTATTATATATATATATATGGTACCCCCCCAAATGTATATTATATATATCCACAAATGTTCAGGAATAAAGACTAGACACGGTGGTGCATGCAAAAGCACAGTCCAATCTTTATATATATTTGTATTATTTCAATGCCTCATGAGATTCTTAGGGGTTTCAATGGGTTTCAATGGGTAACTGACCATTCTTACTATATAGGCCTCACGAACATATCCCAACTTCTCAGAAACATGTTCACTTCCCAAAAAGATCTCCGTTGATCTGTGCACAGCCTCCAACCATCTCCGGCTGTTCTGCGTGTTGGAAGAAGCCCTCCCACTTGTTCCGTACAAATTTGTTCAAAGTGCCAGCATTGGAATGCCGTGCCTCACTTGGGCGTGTTCCCTTAAGCTTACACAAGAGCTTATCTTATATTATGGAATTGCATGAGAATTTACATTCAATGATCGATAATCTTAACATGTCTTGGCATCTAGCAAACTCTATAGCTCTTATTTTTTTTCTGGATTTGCTTTCTGCAGCTGTGAGGCGGTTCGTCTCCAAGTAGATTTGTTTGTTGGGCGTACTGAGCGGTACCTGTCCAGGAAGCGGTTTCTCTCCTTCGGTGCGTGTTTCCACCTGCCGCCACTCGTGTGGCGCGGCCTTCACCGGGTTCCATCCTTGCCATGAGACAAGGACATGGTTTCAGATGGTTTCAGACATGCGAAAGACCAGAAAAGTGAAACCTTCCCTGCAGAAACAGTGGGTGTGTCTTACAACTTGGGACACCTCCTAGGCAACGATCCCCCCTGGGTTTCGAAGGACGTAGACCATCGTAGACCAGAACGAACCCAGCCAGGGGCGAGATTTGGGGGGGTCTCCCCCTATTCAAAGATACACCCAAGTGCTTCCAAGCTTGTGCCTAGCAGGATCTCCCCTCTACAAATCACTGGCACTCCCAGCTTTCGAGGCTTGCCATTTCAGGTGGGTGTGCACATCATGAGCTTGGGCAGTGGACCAGCGGCATGAGTGGGCAAGTGCAAGTCAAACACCTTGGGAGAGGGCATCCCATGTTCAGATTCGTATCCATCATCCAGCCCTCTGCCTTCCCAGCAGATGTTGACATCTTCCATCACAGCTCTTCTGGAGCCATACCACTCATCAGCTCTTGAAGATTCCGAGGCCATACCACCTACGACCACCCATCAGCTGCCAAGGAACTGCAGTGAGAGTGGAGCCCTCAGAGACGGAAGTGCTCTGAGGCATGTAGATCGCTGCGAAGCCTGCACCCAGCGGCAGCATGCGGGTCCAAGGGGTTCTGCCGGTCCAACGGGCCGAGTTGGGAACGAAGATCTCAGCTGAAAGAGGTTCCATCCCCTTGAGACGATCCAATCGTACCGAACCTCAGGTACGGTGAGGACGGAGATGGACGGAGACTCTGTTATGTCAGGTACCAGGAGGGTCCAGTCGTACCTTCTGAGGAGGTACCTAGCTGGGAGGACCATGGCATGGCTCCCAGGTGCGGCACAGGTGGTGTGCCATGGTGGTGTCTATCAACGTCCCATGATGATTCGAAGGAGTGTAAGTTTGTCTTAGATATGTCCCTCTGCCACCAGGGGTTTGAACATCTGGTCTGGTTAGGTACGTGCTTCTGATCCGATACATAAGCGAAACATATCAGATGAGTCAGTGGTGGAGGAAAAAGACACCTCCCACATTAAAGGGTGGAACATCCACATCTCCGAAACCACCGGCCACGTGGTCTATGAGTCATCAGTGACTTCCACCTAAAGCGGCTTCCACCGATCAGCCTCACTCTCTCCTCACGGCTTCCGCCGCAAACCGCGGTTCCAAGATGTTCCGATCGGGCGTTCTTCGATTCTCTTAGGCCTCTTTCGGTATCATACTCTAGGGATCCAGTCGTACCTTCTCAGAAGGTACTTGGACCGGACCCTCCAAACCTACATAGAGGTGTCTCATTTCACCTGCTGAGAAGGTACTTGGATCCCTAGGGATAGGGCTTTTGATCGCAGATCACCGGCGATGATTTTGCCGTTACCAACCGAGAAAACTCGGCAAACCGTTATAAGCGGAGGCATGTCATAGTCAACGAGACCCACAAAAGCGCAAAAGCGGGTCATGGCAATACCGACTGGGCATGACCGACCTGGTGTGAACCCTACCAGGGTGCACACGGATGACTTTGATCCACCAGCCTAGAGAGAAACAAATATCCTATACAGCTCGATCCAAAAACGAGCCGTTTCCATATCTTGGTGCCATGTCACATGGAGGGTCCCCTGTCACACGGAGGGTCTCACGGAAGGGGTCTGTTGATGCCGCCTTGGGGAACGGTGACGAGTGACGACATGTTGAGCATGCTGCCAAAGCATACGATATGTGGGTCTGGGTCCGATAGTCCAAAAAGGGAACCAAATCGACTTTGGTTGCTTTGCTCTTCACCTGTGACAGTGTCAAGCGTTCTGCATTCAAGATCCGCTTCGCCTAGGCGAAACCAGGAATAGAAGTCCGCAAAGCTATTGACCTCGGATGGCCAAGGACGGCCCCCATCGACCCCACAGTCACACCGCGCGGTACGGCCACACACGGACACGGACACGTTCGCCTCTTAGAGAAGCATCGCCATCGCCGCGGGAAAATCGATGTGTTGAAAGGGTCCCAAAAACATGTCCAATCGGAAGGATCAGGATGTACACCGCGCGGTACGGCCACACACGGACACGGACATGTTCGCCTCTTAGAGAAGCATCGCCATCGCCGGGGGAAAATCGATGTGTTGAAAGGGTCCCAAAAACATGTCCAATCGGAAGGATCAGGATGTACAAAGAACAAAAGACGGCCTAGTAGCAATGCCTAAAAGCTACTAGTAGCTTCTTGCTAGCGATGCCCTTGGTTCCTAGTAGCTTCTTGTTCCTGACATTGGATCAGGATGTACCAAAAACAAAAGACGGCCTAGTAGCAATGCCTAAAAGCTACTAGTAGCTTCTTGCTAGCGATGCCCTTGGTTCCTAGTAGCTTCTTGTTCCTGACATTGGATCAGGATGTACAAAAAACAAAAGACGGCCTAGTAGCAATGCCTAAAAGCTACTAGTAGCTTCTTGCTAGCGATGCCCTTGGTTCCTAGTAGCTTCTTGTTCCTGACATTGGAAGGATCAGGATGTACCAAAAACAAAAGACGGCCTAGTAGCAATGCCTAAAAGCCACTAGTAGCTTCTTGCTAGCGATGCCCTTGGTTCCTAGTAGCTTCTTGTTCCTGACATTGGATCAGGACGTACAAAAAACAACAAACGGCCTAGTAGCAATGCCTAAAAGCTACTAGTAGCTTCTTGCTAGCGATGCCCTTGGTTCCTAGTAGCTTCTTGTTCCTGACATTGGAAGGATCAGGATGTACAAAAACAAAAGACGGCCTAGTAGCAATGCCTAAAAGCTACTAGTAGCTTCTTGCTAGCGATGCCCTTGGTTCCTAGTAGCTTCTTGTTTCTGACATTGGATCAGGATGTACAAAAACAACAGACGCCCTAGTAGCAATGTCTAAAAGCTACTAGTAGCTTCTTGCTAGCGATGCCCTTGGTTCCTAGTAGCTTATCAGGATGTACCAAAAACAAAAGACGGCCAACACCCTTGGGGTGGAGAAAAAAAAGGCATACCACCAGCTTCTCTGCCAGAGATGTTTCAACCGAGTGGCGTCCTGGATGTTCTTGTTTCCAAAGGTGCCAACACCATTGAAGGCAAAATTGGCGTTCTCTTCCTTAGACCGGTGATGTCCGTTCGAAACGGGGCGTGCGTTCGAAACGGGGCGTTCGTTCTTCGGGAAACCTGACCCAGTTCGCTGGCGCCCATCGCACTTGCTTCGCGCTCGTGGTCACCACATTTGGCAGACCTGTTAGTTCGTAGTCAAAGGGAAGACCTGTTAGTCCAAATAGCAAAACACACAGCACCACACGGTCTAAAAGGATCAACTGGGGCAAACGTCATAGTTTTCTGCATATGCTGACTGCACTTTATTGCCCAACAATCATGTAATGTATTACATATAATAATGTGTATATATATATAGGACACATATATATATATATATAATCCTCAAAACTCAAAACACCTCAAAAGCTATAGGCAAACATTCCACAATTACATGGATTGTTTGGATTGTGTATCACTATGATCCGGCTCCGCCTCGATTCTCATTCATGTATCATTGAGCCAATCAAACATATATTCAAACTGTCAGATACTGTAAAGACCCTGAACGGCCCTCCCTACATCCTCCCCTACACATGCAGGTACTCCGTTTTACCTCCCACACCAGGCCCCTGTCCATCACAACACCCACGTCGTCCAGAGGCGATGTCGAAGCGGATGGCTCTCCTCGGGCAGCGGCCAGTGGCAGCCGGATCCGGAATCTGTTTTACCATGGTATCTTTTGGGGGACGGAGACGGAGGGTATCTGTTGCCGAGGAATATCTGCTGGGGGATCATATTGAAAACAGAATTCATGGAATCCTTTGAAAGCAGAGACATGTTCCATGATCCTTTTGAGATGTATTCAAAGTGGTTCTCATGACTTCTGGGGACCAAAAAGGAAGTCATGAATTCAGGACCTCCGTTTGTTCTCTATTGGCTTCCATCATCTAAACTCTGCCAACTCCCGAGCTTGGACCCTTGCTATTCACAGACCCTTGCGTCCCCCAACACCGCAGGTTGTAACCCCAACGTAGGACATCCTAGTAGACAACCGGACTGACATGGACTGACGAAACATGATCATATATGATCAGGACCCTCAAGATCCTATTTGGTCTAAAGCCTCTCAAGCCCGAATGTTGAGTTACCAGGACCCTCCTGTCGGGGAGGTGAGTCCATTCACCCCGAATCTATAGCGTTTCGGGGCTAGACACCCCGACAGGAGGGTCCTGGCAAGAGACAAATCAGACCTGCCCGGACCTGCTTCGGATCGTCGCAGCGAACTTCGGGCATCCAAGAGGCTCGATGCTTTGAGCAGGGCCAATCATCTGAGGCGGGTCTTTTCGACGTCTCTCGAGGATCTCTCGGGCCACATCGAGGTGTTCTTTGCAAATCAACCAGGATCTCGAAGGCAATGACAGAAAAAAGAAACATCTGGTTGATTGGATGTGGCACAAAAAACGAGAACATCGACCCGGATGTGACAGAAAAATATCAGAAACATCGAAGACTGATGTGTTTCTGCCTGCACAGGACGTTTGGATGTTCTCTTCTTTGGAACCGACCCTCACGTCCGTCGACCGGTCGTTCTCGACCGATCGTCCGACGGGACCGACGGGACCTGGGATCGACCGAAGACGGAGACGGAGACGGACGGTGGACGTTGGGACGGTGGCCATTGGAGTTGGGACACTCCAAGGAATATATTGGGGATGATGAATAAAATTGGAAATATGATGTGTTCTATCATCAAAGAATATTGGGGATGGTCGTTGAGTCATTAAAGATCATTTAAGGGACTCCCTTTTTATGGAACCAGGCTACAGAAACCAGGCGGGCGCCCAGCCACCGAAACGACTCCCGTCCAATCCTCATGAAGACGTGATGCAAACGCAAGTGATCAAGTGATCAAGTGCAAGTGATGGAAGCCCAAACTACTACCAACATCGACAACAAACGGCAATATTTGCCTAACATCTCTACAACGAACACCCAGCACATGTCCTTACCAACATCCGCGGCCAAAGCTGTCGCTTTCCACCACGCCCCTTCGTACGCCCCACAAACGCCCCACCACCGGGGGACCTCGTGTGACAGGAGCATCAGGGCAAAGAAGATGATCAAAAACAACGTCCGAGGCAAGGTCTGGACGGCCTGGTCCACGAGGACGGACCAACGGGTCCACGGGTTCCACGTATACGTCCGAGGCGTCCAGGTAGGGGCCGGACGTATAAGGACGTATACATCTGCACAAGACACAACCAAAGGTATGGGAGAATAGACAAACATAGCGTCTAATCACTAGTCTAATCATGTCAATAAAGGAACTAGGCCAAACACATGGGGGTTTTGAATGGTTCTGAGGCCCCGCATCAAAAAAGAAGGGTTCCTCAAAGATCTGTGGTCTCAGCTTTCAGCTTTGATTCAAACGTCGTCGCTTCACCCAACGTCGAGCCATTCAGGATCATGCAAACAGAGCACATACCAATCATCCTCCAAGTCAATCAAAACATCGTCAACGGTGAGCAAAAGCACCAAAACCCCGGTGGGAGATGCACTATCAGTATCAAACACCGGTTGGCAAATTCATGTGAAACGTTGTGAAACAACGGTCAACACCACCGGTTGGACGGACCGGTTGGACGCACCTTATCACAGTCGATCTCTTTCTGCCAATATGTGAAGAGCTCCTTTGCCTCGTGCGACGACACACAGATCCACAAGGGCCAAAGGGCAAGAAGAACACCCCTACGTGTAGGGGTTCCCATGTTGAACCTCACCCTGCACTCAACTTGAGAGTATTACATTTTGGATCAATTACACATCCACCCCAAAATGGAGTGTAACACCTCTTCAGATGGGGGAAGGTTATTAAGTTATGAGTCGTATGACTCAACTCAACAGTCTACATTAAACTTCCCTGATCCATTTGATGGTGGAGCATGCCCAGCATGTCCTCTCAGTCCCCAATAATCACCTGCCCGCCGGAGGGGATTAACCGGCCATTGGTTTTTCACGGTTTTTTTTCGTCAGACTCTGATCTACCAAAAAATATTGTAGACTAACATACAGACAAGTACTTATTATCCAAAATCCTTGTATATGCGTATACAACTCATACTTCAAACGTCTTCTTCAGACCAAAGTTCAAGTCTTCATATGATCTTGTAGCAATTGGTTCAAACATGTTCAAACATCAATTCAGCTGAAACACATTGAAACCATGAACCACCGTCACCTCAAAACCCTCTCCTTCTTACCACTGATTACCACTGCCATCGGCCATCGGTGCCATCGGTGCCATCCGCCCAGCCCGAGCTGCTGGCACGCCGTGCCGATAGGCGATGTCCTTCGGCTGGAAGATCTTGTATTCATTTTCTGGGGCGCCGCGTCGGAGCGCGGAGCGTGGGAGAGTGGAGCTCGGACGAGCGACCGGAGGCGACTAGCGGACGAGTTCGGACCGGAGAGTCGGTGTTACCGAAAGCAAGGACGTTGGAATGACACTCTGGATTCTCTGGATGGCATGGCCCCTGTGAAGACCATTTTCTGAATACCAAACAGGTTTTCCATTTCCATGTTAGTGAGTCGGAGCACCCACAAACACACACGGACTCGTGTAAGGCTATAAACATCAAAACAACGGACACCGTGCAACTCGCACTTCATCCCCACAACACTTTGTGCAAAAACACACGTGTAGAACATATCCCAAACACGACCAATGGGAATGGCAGATTTGTATACATTGACTGGGGGATCTATAGAAACCACCCTTCTACATCCCTGTATTTAAAGGAAAAAACACAAGAAACAAGACATCTCCACCTCGCTGCCCGGCTTCAATCTCTAACACACAAACCAAAAAAGGCCAATCGGTGCCCCCCCAAAAGCGAAAGCAGTCTGCTCGGAGGCCCAGTGTCCGATCGTGGTCTCCACCCAATAGTAGACCTTGTGGGCGATGGTCGTCATGGGCGCCGATGAGACGGAGCTCCGCGGCGGGTCCCGGCCGCGGAGCTCCGCGGAGCTCCGCGGGTAGCGTCTTCCCTTTGAGCCGCTGGGAGAGGTCGGGAGAGGTCGAGCGAAGAGGTCTGAGGAAGAGGTCTGATCGGGTCGTTGATCGGATGCGGGTCGAGCAGCTCTGGAGATTGAACTGTTCGCACGTTCGCACCTGACGATCTTCTGGGCTGGTCACAAGTCACAAGGGATAAAACGGAAGCTATAGATTCTATGCAGGAAGGTGATTAAATACAATTGAACACTCCCTGTGCACCGTCTTGGTCTAGATACCAGTACATCCTCCTTGAGCTAAGCAAGGCAAAGCAAACCCAGCCCACTTTCTTCTCAAGCAATCGACCGCCAGGGAAGTCCAGCGCCCACTAGCAGGGATGAGCTCGTATATCGAGTACACACAATGACAGCTGATCCAGTCATCTGGCAATTAGGCAAACGTGACTGTAAACATAAAAAGGAATCTCAAACACTCCTTGTATGGAATCATATATGCCTACATTCCCCCCTTTTCAACCACCCCAATGTCTGTAAACATGCCAGTCCCATGGGTCATGTCTGGGAATGGGATCCACTGTAAAAGAACGTCAATGCTCTTGACAATTCTTGACATCTTTCGGGAGGAACCTCCTCACACGTTTGGTGTTCCGAGCACACGTTTCACGATGCTCAGCCACCTCCAAATGTATCGGAGCTCCCAAACCACCAGCTGAACACACAGACGGCTGGCGAGACAGAGATGCTCAGCTTGTCCATTCAGTACCAGTTTGGCTTGATAAAGCTATTCGGGATGCTTCGTTCTTGAAAGAGATCTCCTCATGTAATTAGTGACATATATACACCATGCTCGTTTTGAGAAGGCTTCTTTTTGGGGGTATACACCACTGGTCTCCACTGGATCACCTTCGTGATACACCGCGGAGCTCATCCATCCGACCCTGGCACACTAGCATCGCATCGTCGGCCATGGCCATGGGCTGCTTCGCATCCCATAAGCAGGACGAAGAGCTACAAGGTACCTTTGACCCTGCGGCCCGCCTGCGGGCCGACCCCGCCCCCACCCCGACGACCACGAATGGGTGACACGAGCTTCGTGGCGCGAACAAAAGGAGGAACACACCTTCTCGAGGGTGTGAAGCACCCGTCCGCTGCAGATTGAGGTGTAAAATCGCAAAGATTTGTGTAGTGCAAAGTCTGGATGGTCTCTGGAGTCACTGTGGAGCATCCTCATCATGAAGTTCCTTAAAACGCATCGTATCAACCGGACAGGTCTCCTCATCCGTGCGCCATGAGACCAACGCGTGTGACGCTCCTCCCCACGGTGCCGTGGTCCCCTCACTAGACGGAGAGGTCCTGACCTGAAGCGCCAGCTGCGAAGTCAGGACATCTCCCGTTCGCCCTTCTTCGCCCCCCACTGGGCGTTCGGAATGTCTACAAAAGCCATATACTATACGGGTGTCCATGAACCACACCGGAACCTCTGGTTGCTTCTGGAAAAAAAGGGCAGAACTTGATAGAATTTGGAAGGTCTCAGTATGGGATACTAGGCTCCCGTCGTTGTAGGCTCTTTGCAGCTTGGCCAGTGGTAAGAAAAAGACTGAAATACTCGGCAGCAAGGAATGACTATGTGAGGTCCACCAAGGTGAAGAAAGGAAGTGAGACACACTGGTTACAGCATGACTATGCTTGGGAAAGCCAGCACAATCACAGCACGAAAACGAATGAACATCAAACTAACGACCCTGAAAATGACCTCGTGGAGTCGCCATGTTCCGATCTGGTCATGCCGTGCCCCGGTGCCGATCTGGTCGAGCCGATATAAGGCGAGGTGCTTCTCGAAGGCTTCTCGAAGTGCTCCAAGCGCTTTTGCAGCACTTCCATCGAGTGTCTCATCTCATTCATCCTGCTTCGCGTGGAGGAACAAATACGCCACGCATTCCGGGCTTAGATCAGTAGCCTTGGAGTCATGATGAGTCATGTGTGCTTAGATCTGTTTTTGTTGGTCCTCTTTTACACCTCCAACTTGATGGACGACTCCACCAGTTTCGCTACGGGATAGCGACTAGCGATGTCATGGACTCTCTCCTCGACTTGCCTGCCATTTGACCACCGAAACATGCAGCTGGGCTGTAACTTCAACGGACATGAACGGGCTTTCCTGTTCCGTTGGCTCATCCAAAGGGTGGGTATCATGAGCCACCTCCATATTTCACCAGCTCAAAAAGCCCGCAACAATGTTCCTTGATCATATAGCCATGTTGAATGTGTCAAAGGCAACAACGTTCACTGGTTTTGAACCATGACTGGGGCACTTGACAAGCCAAACCCAGTGTCGATGATTAATTGTTATTAATTGATGGAGTACTACAAAAAAGGTGCATCCACTGGTGCATCCCGCTTGCAAACGACGTTGGACACCCAAGCTATGTAAGAGTGCTATGCCCAAGGGATGGTCAATACAGACTCCCGAGCCGTTTCCCTATTATATAAATAAAGGTTAACTCTCCAGCTGTTGTTGTTGAAGCAAAGAAACCAAATTTTCTCCACCCCAAATCAAAAGGTCAAAACTGGTGTGCAGATTCTGGGTCGGCCTTCAGGATGCCTTCCACTGAAGGGGCTTGTCTTCGCTCAGCGACGCAACCCTCCGGTTTTGGTTCACTTCTTCGGGTGTCCCAGACAGCGGAGGCGCCGAAGATGTGATGACCATTGAGGTGTGATGACCTGGAACACTGCCATCCTTTTCCCGTTGATGCAACGAGATGCATGATTGGAAAACGGAGTTTCCCATTTTCCCATCAAAACAAAACCCCCTGATCCTTCTCAAAAGACTGAACCCACATTAACTTGCCGCACCGGTCCCAGTGTCGCCCCGCGAAACCCCTCGGCATGCGGAACAAATCAGCTCAGGCCCCCCGGCGCTTCGGCCAACTCGTGCGCCTTCTGGTGGAGGTCCATGGCGGTCGTCTCGGTCGGCCAAATGGGACTCTCAGTCGTCGCGTCCGATCGCGGCCAGTTCGGTTCGTACCGCGATGCCAGGTGCGCCCCGAGTTCGTAAGCGAAGCTTGTTCCGTTCGTAGTACGTGGGTAAAGACCCTGTGGAGCTCGAGCTCTTCGACCAGAACACCGTCCTTTCGGAGAAACGGCGACCGGGCGGCGGCTGAGCAGTTACTGGCAGAACTGGTCGGAAGGCCAGTGTGAATGGAGCTGCTCAGCTCAAAAGCATTCTGCTGCGACTTCAGTATACAAGTATAGGTTTTGGATGAAACAACCCTTCACAAGGAAACTGATATGACCTCAGAACTTTCCTTTAGCTGATATATGGCCCAAAGATGCCCAAAGTAATAAAGCTCAAATATCCAGGCCATTCTAGGGCTAAGATCAAAGAAGCAAACACAAAATTCCCTCATACATCACACGCCTCCACGCTGATTGAGCAGAGCTCCTCCTCTCTCGCCTGCGAACTCGCGAGACCGCGCGATCCACCGCGATCCACCGCGATCCACCGCGACCGTGCCGGTGCCTAGCAGGGCGTCGCAAACAATAGAGAGACCCTTCGCGTTCCGTTGGGCTGTCCCCGATTTGGGGTTCGGCGGACAGGTGACCCGTCGAAGAGGGTTGGGAGGTCGAGGTCAGCGACACAGCCACTCGCCTTTTGGTCACTGGATCCACCGGGGTCGGTGTTTCTGTAGCTGTCAGATGATGGAGGGGGTTCACTCAGGTATATATGTTATCGCAACTAGAGGGCAGGCAAGTCCCGTTTGCAAAACAGGCATTCTCATGAAACAAAAATCACCGCCGGTATTATATGGTTGATTGTTTTTTTATATATATATAGTTGCATATATTATCAAACATGGGTCAAAACGACTTGAAACAAACAACTCCAGGCCGACTCCAGGCTTACTATTGACCAGCCCATGTTGGCGCTGGTATCGGCATGCACAATCAGGTCTTCTACATGTCCATGCTCTGTGCGCAGTCCCTACTGCGGGCTAAATAATAGCACCGAAGGACTGTTTCCATGTCCAAACATGGGGCAAAGAAAGCTTGTGCTCAACGTTTCCACCCAACAAACATAAACACGACCCCACACACACACACACTTTTTTGCCTGGCTTTTCTCACTGCCCGCCGCCACTTGCCTTGGAACAATGGACAAACACTTGATTTGTGCAAGACATGGGGACTGACTGCTTCCTGTTCCCAACAAGTTCCACATAATCCAACATCCTAGCACAGGGCTGCTTCTCAGCAACAAGTCAAGAGCGACCTCATCAAAGGTTTCCCTAAAATACCGCCTTGAAAAACACACCGATGGAATGAACCAAAAAACCCGTCGTCCCTAGACATGACATGTCTTGTTCGATCCGTTCCCTCATTCCCTACCATCCGAAGCACCAGACCATCGGGCAAGTGAACTCATCGCCTCCTCTGTGAGCAGCATCACCCCCAGAATTGTGTGGCTTTGGCGGATCAATTGGAATAGACCCCACCTCCAATTCATGGTACCATAAGAATCCGGGTCCTCAAATGGCAGCCGGGCAGGTGATCTAGATCTTTCCTTCGAGTCCGGACCGGAGTCGTTTGGACCCCTGGGCCCCCAGCAGCCGCAGTTGTCGCAGTTCTGGCAGGCAGCGAGCTGGAATCCGAGTCTTTGGGGTCGTGATCCATGGATGAGGAGCCCTCAAATGCTTGCGTTTGTATCTTTTTTCTGTCAGGGGATCGACCATGACATCATGATATACTCACTTTCAGGGGATCGACATGATGACTGACATGATGATATACTCAACTTGTTTCAACGCCCAGTCAGTTTTACTTTTTGTTTTTCTGGGTGTGTCCCAAGATTTTCCAGATAGGAGTCTTTTGGGCCACCCGGGGTTCTGGACAAAAACCATCGTCGCAACGGAGTTTCAGCCCGGGGTTTTGGACCACTTTGGCACATGGAACCAATCTCCCTGAGCGCATCAGAAGGCTAGAATAAGCAAGGCTTCCAGTGTTTGGCGGGTGAGCACCCAGTCAA